GAACTTCCTCCTCCATTAAAAAGAAGTGGTCTCATAACCTAAAGCACTTTCAAATATTTGACTATATAGCCTCCCACACTAGAACTGACATGAGATTGAGAGTATCTAATCATTTGAGTCACTGCATTCATCATCTTCGTAAAAGTATTTATGTTCACAGAGATGTTCTGAGGCATATTAATCTCAGTTTTACTTTGTCTAAATTTCCCTTGATTATCCATATTTCTGAAATAACATAACAAAAAATATAATTAAACATTACTTATTCTTCATTTAAATCGTCTATCAATTAATTTAACCAACATTATGGCTCTCTTTTTTCAGGATTCAAACATAAACTCTATGATGTCATGTCACGACCCGGTCTGATAGCTTAAAATTAATCAACTTAAGAAATATGGTCGAACAGTATTAGTCTTTCTCTTTATTTTTTATTATACAATAAATCATCATAACTTCTAATAATAAAAAGAGGCACTAAGAAAAAATTATAAAGTACACCAAAAAATAATCAAATTCAACCAAAACAACATAGTCTGAAAGTAAAATAACATCTTAATCCAACCAACAACAGTATAATAATAATCTGAATTAATTAGTATAAGAAACTATAAGCATAACAAATAACCTGCAACTTAATATCAATAGTCCTCCCGTAAACCAACTCCTTTCTGTCAAAACATCAATCTAGAGTTTCGCTTAAAAGAAACAAGTAATTTCAATAGTAAGTTTACAACCACTTAGTGAGTGTTAGAATGGTATGAGTTTATGTTAATTAACATCAGTAAGTGTAGAAGAAAAGCTATTTGGATTAAGAACGGTGATTGCACATTAAAAACAAAAAGACAAAGTGTGGTAAATCTAAGATAAATTTTTAATTTAAGATTTTACGTATTTAATTGAAAATATTAATTATTATTTTATTGATAAATGTTAGAAGTATAAGAGGAAGGATAGTTGTATTAGAAATTGAGGAAAAATGATCGCAATGAAAGAGGAGGTAAATATTTATGCATTCATTATGTATGTTGTTTTAATTAAAAATTCATTAAGTAAATGCTAAATTTCTACGCAGAAACAATAATTAGATTTGAAAGAGCATTTGATTTAAAAAGATCATTGGGGAAAATTTTTTATTTAATTAGTTATACTTAAGTTAGTTATTTTAGAAATAAGATCCTTTTATTTGCATTAAATTCTAGTTCTTTTATTTTCAAAATGTTTTCTTTGTTTGTACATATTAAAAGCACTTGAAGCTCTTTAATAATCGAAACAAGATATATGAAAAAGACACGACTGTTATATGATTTCAATTCTTATGTTTTGCGCTACAGTAAATGAAAAAATAAATGGAGTTAATAATTGAAAGAAAGGAAATTTAAGTTAAATGAAGAATAAATGATACAAAAAATAAATGGAGTTAATAATTGAAAGAAAGGAAATTTAAGTTAAATGAAAAATAAATGATCAAGTGTATCATTAATCACTCAATCACTCCCCTGTGGTTGATGCGGGCTTGTTGGGTGCTCGGCTGAACTTGCTAGCCTTCATAGGGGATAGAATTGCAGCCCCTTACATTTCCCAATTTCCTATTTACTCCCTTCCATAGAAGAAACTTGTTCCTCTTCTATTCATTTCCTATTTCTAGTCATTGACTATTTCTCTTCCTTTTTCTATTTCTATTCCTTTCTTATTTCTCTTCCTTTCATATTTCTATTCTTACCTCTTCTATTCTTTGGCTTTCATTATTCCCTTCCAAAATTTAATTCCTTCCTCTTCTAATTCCTTCATATTCTAATTTCTAGTACCTATTATAAATATGTTGTTTGTTATCTTAGGGTTCAGTTTTTATCTTCTAGATTTCAAATTCAGTCCAAGTTAGTCGTAGGGGTTGTTTTCCCTTTTAGGGTCGTATCCGAAGGCGAGGAAGTGCCCGGTTGCAACTCGCCTGAAGTGGTGATCTTTCCCAACGGTTTGAGGGGTGCTCTGCAGTAACTCGATCCCGCAGTGATATTTATCCTTCCTCGATCCCCGTCGTTGCTTTCCCAGTCATCCTCCCTGCTACCACCCTCCACCCTCCACCCGCCTACCTCAAGCCTTCCCACGGTACCGCCACCCCCCATCTGTGCCACCAACCATCCCTCCCACTGAATTACTGGCCGCTAGCCAGTGTACACTTTTCCAGTGGTAACCAAACCCTATTGCTCCTTCCTGCCAATGCCAATGCCCTGTCTGTACTCTTTTCCAGCCGCAAGTTTAAGCATCAGCCTGGGAGTCCAGCCCACAAGCCTCTCTGACTCATCCCACTGTTATCGTAAACTCTCCAACCACTTCAGTTGTTGTCGTAACCTCCTCTGCAAGCCCTCGACTGCTGCCACAGCCACTCTAACCTCCCTTGTTGTTGCTGCCACATCCAACAAATAACCCCACCTGTTGTCCAGCCGCCAACCACCACCTTTGCCATCGCCCTGGGGTGTCATATATGTTTTGTGTTGTTATTTTCCTATTATCAAGAGTCTTTGTTTGTAACCCTTTTGAATTTCAGCAATAATATTTGTATTTCTATCGTGATTTGAGTTAACTCCGACATCAATGGTACTAACATGGGATGTTATTGTACTCGTGCACACTAAAGAAAAAGAAAGTGAAAATTATTGTCTTTAAGATACAAAATGGAAAAATGTTGTGCCTTTATGATAGAAAATGGAAAAGATTTTAATGATCAGCTTAAGATGACTTCCAAAAGGAAAAGAAAATGAAAAAATTAAATGATTTAGATGATTTAATAGAAGTTTGAATTTAATAGAAGTTTGATAAAGCAAAAAAAAAAAAGATTACTCAGTGTATTCCTTTAAGCATTCATGTTAGGTATTTGCATAAAGATTTAATGCATAATAAAATGACAATTATTCACTAAGTTATTTTTAACTTAACATATTGTTTAACTTTTATTCAGGAAAATGTTTGCTAGATTGAGATGATCGATATAAGGGAGTTTATTTACAAAAGAAGATGGACTATTGATGATATGAAGCAGGTTGCTTATTTCTATGTTTTGTTACTTCTATGGTATTACTTGTTTTACTGTAGTAGATTGAATGAACTTTTGTGTTTTATGTAGAGAATTTTTACTTATGTATTATGAATTAATTGGTTTTTTATAATTAAATGTTATTGTATACTAATGTTACTAATTAGAAATATTTTCTTTCACCGTTCGATAATCTGCTCTGGCCTTGGTTAACTCCAAGTTCCCAGGTCGGCACATGACACATTCAGGTAAGTAAATTACATGTTGTGAGATGTGTTATCCTTGCAATTCACTCATGAAATATTAGTACAACCAGGACTATTTCAAAGAGATGCAAGAACTTCAGGGGGACAAACAATGAAGTGTTCAATCATAATGGGAAGAGGATTCTACTGATCTTTCTAAACCCAAGGAACCACAAAGAAGTTCCTAAACGACTTAACCATACATCAAGTAAAAAATTGTCCCCTTTTCCCTGAATTGGCACTACTTACAACAGCTAAAGCAAGAGTACTAGAGGAGAGAATTATGTGTTGTGCTCACAAAAAGAGGAAGCTTCCTGGTGGGATGATTGCATGCCTAAGGAGATGTTAGGGCTTCAAATAGCTAGTATGTTTATCCTACTAACTATTGATAATCTCCAGCCAAGTACTAAAAGTGTTTGGTATTATCCCCCAATCATCTCACCCAATTTTACCCCATCATAAGATGAATTAAATTAGCAAGTTAAGCTTTAGAACTCAAAAGAAGTTATAAAAATGATAGCTTGAGGAACTACATGGTCAATTGCACCATCAACAAGATTAATCTCAAGTTAGAATCCTAACGCCAAGAGTATATAATCAGATTGACGTGTCAGAAATTTGAGCTTTCCTTGAAGATAGACCAATGTATTGGATACCATAAAAGTTATGCTTGTGACAAAAGACTTCACAAGTGATTGAGTGTGGTCTTCAGACTAACCATCTATCTACCTAGCATATTTGTGAGAGTTATGACTCACATGATCCTTTTAATTGTTTCCCTCATCTACTTTCAAAATAAATATTAATTTCAACCGTGAAAATTTTCATTGGTTCTATACAAGGAAAAACTATTGGGTAATTTCAAAAAGTAAATAATCGTAACTTCTTCAAAAATCTACTGTAGATTCTGTTGTTCCTTGAAAGGGCGTAAAGCATAACCCCAAACTTATGAGTGCCCCAGCCTTACAATATCACAAAGGCATTAAAATTCCACGTCTTACTGACCTTTTAAAGAAGGTTCATTAAAAGACCACTATGGTTCTACTCACAAAGTTTTGTGAAAATGGGGCGCATGTTTGAGATTGTTATACAGGGAATGGCGTTTTTTTTTTTAAGCAGATACCTCTTAGGTATTACAAAAGGAGGCTTATTGTGTTTCTACAATTTTAAGCCAGTGGGTAGCCAAAAATGTAACTTTTAATAATAATATACTAAGATTCTTTGTAAAAATGGTGATACAATAATAAAGAAATCACATGCCTCGAGCATGTGCTAAACGCTACCATCAAGGATGCCTTCATATTGTTTTCCTGCAGGCTATTAAAGGCATTAGGCAAGGAAATGGCCCCCTATAGCAACTTGTGTTTCCAAAGCTGAAAAAACCAACAAGAAATATGGAATAAAAATAAATCGAGAATGCATGACTAAAATTTCAATACAGCTGCAAATAACTGAAATAAAAGATGCTAGTCATAGCAAGAGCCAACTAAATGACAAACCCAATAGAAGTACAAAAGAAACGAAATAGAAGTTTCATTAAAAATTACTAAAATAACATTTTGAAAACTACAGAAAAACAAACAAGTTCATTAAAAACTACTAAAATAGCATTTGGCATGTTCATCTCATATAGTTGTAAAATTAAAAACTTTGAATGCAGCAGAACAGCATAGCTATTTTGCTTCTATACCAAAACAGTTCTTCGTATGAAAGATCAATCTTACATTGAGCCATGCTTCTCTCGAGCATTGAAAGCTGGCAAAGTATTTCCTTGTTAGGATCCTGCAAGAAAATAAGCATATTAAAATTCAGTAAGGTATTTACTATTGAAACGGAAGGTGGGTATAAGAACAACATCCAAGCAGACAAGAGTTACAAACCATGCTTAAAGCTACGGAAAAGCAGTTCTTTGAAGATTGTAGATCTCCCTTCTTCCAGATGCAGTTACCTAAGCATGCCCATGCATCTGCAAGAGATGGATTCAATTTAACCTGCAGGACCAAAAGAACATCAAAGTTAGCTCATTCAGAAAATGATACAACGAAAAAGACTGGGCTAGCGCGTACTGCTTTTGACAAATGGTCTTCCGCCTCTTTCTGATAATCTGGTAACACATCCAGTATTTTTCCTCTTAAGAATTCATATAGGGCACGCTGCGATATTGACTTCCTTAGATCTGCATGTAAGCCGCAAATAAGTGTCATAGGTATGACAAGATTATGCAATTGTATCAAGAAAGAATCTACAAAAGAAGATGAATAGCAGCTAAAAACTCAACAGAATAAAGCAGATGAAAAAGTTAACAGGGCTTTTCATATACATACATGCATACATATATATATATATATAGCCCAAGGGCTGATATATTAAGGAGAAAGGTACAGATAGGTTTGTATAGGTGGGCCTAAACACCCAACCACACGGTACAACACACACCAAAAAATGTAAAAGATGGGTACATATAGAAATAAAAAAAAAAAACCCAAAAAACCACCTGGGTGCTGAGAAAGTGTGGGTCATCCCAATCTAGTCTTGCCTCTGGCTCTAGTTCTCGGTAGGAATCCAGCTAGCAGATAGGTAAGATGTTGACCATTACTCGTAGTAACCAATGTATCATCCATAAAACTTATGAGCTCTAATAGATTTTAATTCTTCTTCTTTCACCTGGAAGTGTGAACCTGTCATTCCTCCTCTGAAGAATCAGCCTAATGGGGTAGAGCTGAAGCAGAAGAAATATCAATAGTAAAACACACAATAGGTTCTAGAATATGTGAAGTATGAGTTGCCTCTAGGCCGGATACTTCTTGAAGAAGTGGAGCTGTGAGGCTCTCCTAATTATCAGTTTCAACACTATCCAATGGGGTAGAGCTGAAGCAGAAGAAATATCAATAGTAAAACACACAATAGGTTCTAGAATATGTGAAGTATGAGTTGCCTCTAGGCCGGATACTTCTTGAAGAAGTGGAGCTGTGAGGCTCTCCTAATTATCAGTTTCAACACTATCCTTTATAGGTAATAGTCCAGCAGTATTGTTTTCTATGGAGTTGTAGGTGTCAGCGCCGCATCAATCTAGGTTCTAGAATATGTGAAGTATGAGTTGCCTCTAGGGGGCAACAGACACCTCCTGTCTGGTAGTATCCTCCTAAGCTGGAACTAAAATGTCCGCAGCAGTGCGGTTAGACCCATCCTTATTCACTTGAATCTTAGATTTCAAATTAGGATGAAGCTTGTGCCATTTAGCAAGGATATGACCAAACATCTTACAGTGGGTACAATATAGGAGTTTGTTTTCCATGACGATTTATTGTCAATAACCATTATGGGTTGTGTCCAGTCAGACTTCAGTAACATCAGGTAAAGTAATATCTCTTTCCACAAGTATTCTGGCCTCCGAGGGTTTGATTAGGTTAAAAGTAAGCAGATCTAGTTTCAAAAGATGACCCCAATAGAGTAGAGAACCTGCTGGTGAAAAAAATCCAGCTTGAGACCAGGTAAACTAAATTACACCGGTACAGGAAGAGTTTCATGATTTGGGTCAAAATCCTAAGACCACTTTAGTAGCTTCATAGGTTTATCAACTTCATTGATTTATTTTTTGGAGAAAATTTGAGTGTAGTCTTCAGGCACGGTTAACTGAATCAAAACATGTCTTCCATCCATGAGCCCCACTTTCCACTTTCCTGCTAATTTGAGGTAATCAAAACTTTTCCTGATAACCTCCATAGGTTTTCTGATATCATCCATAGGAGGGTGTCCTTACCGAAATTTTCCAATAAAAGCAAACTTGAATTTTTCCTCCAGAGTAGAAATTTCTGATTTAGAGAAAAAGATTGTTTATTTTCTACATTTCCTACTTCCCTTCTTAATAAAAGGATAATCATCTGTACTCTCACGAGATTCCTTATAATTTGAGGGAAAAACCACCGCGAACTCTACCCGAACTCTGCCGGAGGGTAACCCACCACATGTGCAAAGGAGACTTTGTTCGGCTCAACCAAAGAAGAAAGAAACGCCATCAGAGGTTGTCGACATTAAAACTGTTGCGAGATTGCTGAAAGGCAGCTGTAGACTTTGTTCGGCTCAACCAAAGAAGAAAGAAACGTCATCAGAGGTTGTCGACATTAAAACTGTTGCAAGATTGCTGAAAGGCAGCTGTCGAGTGCAGAAACAAGGGCAGCGCCGAGCCGAAACAGAAGAAAACCAAACAGTCGGGCGTAGACTCGGGCGTAGACGACGAAGCTGCGAGCGACAGAGGCGTGGAGCGATATCGAGCAGGAGCTGTAACGATATTGAGGAAGACGACGACACGAGCAGAGGAGCGATATCGCGACGCGAGCCATGACAGGGAGCTGCGAACGTCCACGCCGACGTTGACGCCAGACGACAGAGCGAGAGTCGACGATGCGAGGTCCTTTCGGTAGAATCAATTGCGACCGAAATCACCATGGGAAGCCTAGCGAAGCTCTCGACCGTAGCCGACATCACGATCAATCTGTTTATATAT